TATCTGTTTACTTCCTTGCGTGCGGATGACAGCTGCGTATGACTTAATTAATTTTCTGGTGCGTTGACTTCCAGAGACAGTTGGCACTGTTTACCTGCCTCGAGGGTGCTTGACCATTTTAACACAACGTGGTGCGATCATCCCCCTTGCGCGGAGTGAGGGTTCTCCACCCCGCACAACATGATCTACTCGACCACCATTATGGTTACCGCCAAAAAAATAAAACGGAGGAAAAAAAATAAAATCGGTAACCTGGTTGCCGAGTTCACAAAGTGAATTGGCTTGTTTTACNCGTTCTTTCACTTCCAGAGACAGTTGTAAGCACTGTGTACCTGCCTCGAGGGGGNCAACCCAACCCCGATGGCAAACTCCGAGGGGGTTGTACTCATAGTCGTGCATGCCGTATTCGTTAGACCATTGACCTCGCATCCCTACAAAGCCGGGACGGAGCACGCCGGGTTCTCACCGGACCAGGCTCTCACATCACCAAGCGCGAAGCGCCGTGAGATATTCGGCGAGTCGCATGAAGGGTGCGCTGCATCCTGCTAAGGGTGTTCGGCATCTTGTGCTTACTTCCTTGCGTACGGATGACAGCTGCGTATGAATTAATTTATTTTCTGGTGCTTTCACTTCCAGAGACAGTTGTAAGCACTGTGTAACTGCCTCGAGGGTGCTTGACCATTTTAACACAACGTGGTGCGATCATCCCCCTTGCGCGGAGTGAGGGTTCACCCCGCACAACATGATCTACTCAACCATCATTATGGTTACTGCCAAAAAAAAATAAACGGAGGAAAAAAAAAAAAACGGTAACCTGGTTGCCGAGTTCACGAAGTGAATTGGCTTGTTTTACAACGTCGTTGCCAAGCGACGAAAACCCAATCCCGATGGCAAACACCGGGGGCGGCGGCTTGCTAAACAACGTCGTTGCCAAGCGACGAAAACCCCATCCCGATGGCAAACTCCGAGGAGGGTGTACTCATAGTCGTGCATGCCGTAGTCGTTAGACCATTGACCTCGCATCCCTACAAAGCCGGGACGGAGCACGCCGGGTTCTCACCGGACCAGGCTCTCACATCACCAAGCGCGAAGCGCCGTGAGATATTCGGCGAGTCGCATGAAGGGTGCGCTGCATCCTGCTAAGGGTTTTCGGCATTATGTGCTTACTTTCCTTGCGTACGGGTGACAGCTGCGTATGACATAATTTATTTTCTGGTACTTAACTTCCAGAGACAGTTGTTGGCACTGTGTACCTGCCTCGAGGGTGCTTAACCAATTTAACACAACGTGGTGCGATCATCCCCCTTGCGCGGAGTGAGGGTTCTCCACCCCGCACAACATGATCTACTCGACCACCATTATGGTTACCGCCAAAAAAAAAAACGGAGGTAAAAAAAAAAAACGGTAACCTGGTTGCCGAGTTCACGAAGTGAATTGGCTTGTTTTACAACGTCGTTGCCAAGCGACGAAAACCCAATCCCGATGGCAAACACCGGGGGGGGCGGCTTGTTTTACAACGTCGTTGCCAAGCGACGAAAACCCAACCCCGATGGCAAACACCGGGGGGGGCGGCTTGTTTTACAACGTCGTTGCCAAGCGACGAAAACCCAACCCCGATGGCAAACACCGGGGGGGGCGGCTTGTTTTACAACGTCGTTGCCAAGCGACGAAAACCCAACCCCGATGGCAAACACCGGGGGGGGCGGCTTGTTTTACAACGTCGTTGCCAAGCGACGAAAACCCAACCCCGATGGCAAACACCGGGGGGGGCGGCTTGTTTTACAACGTCGTTGCCAAGCGACGAAAACCCAACCCCGATGGCAAACACCGGGGGGGGCGGCTTGTTTTACAACGTCGTTGCCAAGCGACGAAAACCCAACCCCGATGGCAAACACCGGGGGGGGCGGCTTGTTTTACAACGTCGTTGCCAAGCGACGAAAACCCAACCCCGATGGCAAACACCGGGGGGGGCGGCTTGTTTTACAACGTCGTTGCCAAGCGACGAAAACCCAACCCCGATGGCAAACACCGGGGGGGGCGGCTTGTTTTACAACGTCGTTGCCAAGCGACGAAAACCCAACCCCGATGGCAAACACCGGGGGGGGCGGCTTGTTTTACAACGTCGTTGCCAAGCGACGAAAACCCAACCCCGATGGCAAACACCGGGGGGGGCGGCTTGTTTTACAACGTCGTTGCCAAGCGACGAAAACCCAACCCCGATGGCAAACACCGGGGGGGGCGGCTTGTTTTACAACGTCGTTGCCAAGCGACGAAAACCCAACCCCGATGGCAAACACCGGGGGGGGCGGCTTGTTTTACAACGTCGTTGCCAAGCGACGAAAACCCAACCCCGATGGCAAACACCGGGGGGGGCGGCTTGTTTTACAACGTCGTTGCCAAGCGACGAAAACCCAACCCCGATGGCAAACACCGGGGGGGGCGGCTTGTTTTACAACGTCGTTGCCAAGCGACGAAAACCCAACCCCGATGGCAAACACCGGGGGGGGCGGCTTGTTTTACAACGTCGTTGCCAAGCGACGAAAACCCAACCCCGATGGCAAACACCGGGGGGGGCGGCTTGTTTTACAACGTCGTTGCCAAGCGACGAAAACCCAACCCCGATGGCAAACACCGGGGGGGGCGGCTTGTTTTACAACGTCGTTGCCAAGCGACGAAAACCCAACCCCGATGGCAAAACACCGGGAGGGGGGACCGGCGGGGGGGGCATAACTCTGATTGGGTTTCAAGGCTCGAGGTGAAGGTTGGCAGCTGCGGATGCTCTTAAGGTCCAACAAGTGGACATACCATGAAAATCGTTGAGTGGTTTGGCAGAGCGCAAGCAAGCAACTACGACACACCGTTCAAAGGCCGCCTTTGTTCTAATTCTCGCGGTCTACGCTTGATACGTTTCCATGTCCGCGCGCTGGCGTCGTCAGCCTTCTTTGGCCGCTGCCGCCAGCTTACCGCTTGACGGCATCCTCTGTGTTGATAAAAGTTGTTAATGCTTTTCAACTGATCGAGGGTGGCAACGATTCCGCGTTCAACGGTTCTACGCCAGCGTCGTCCTTGTGCAATCCAAAGTAGCTCTCATGACGGTCTTGTGCCTGTTCAGCTTATCGATGCTAGTCCTACCTCCCTAGCCAGGCGCTTGCCATCGATGAGCCTACACCACCTGGCTGAACATTATGCATTCGAAAACTCAAGACGAGATGGGAGAGAGACGAGCCATACCCAGCAAATCGTGGAACCAGAAACCCACACGATTGAATTGAAATCACACCTGCAAGCTGAAACAAGATTCTCCGTATTGTGTTACAAGCAAACGCCACGAAAACGATCTATCTCAACGGTTGTCACGAAAAACGATCTCAACTCGTGTCGTACGACAAACAATCTCTCAACGCGGGTTGCAAGAACCTTCTCTCAACGCTTGTCACGCAAGCAATCTCTCGACGCAGCAACGCGTGTCACAAGAACGATCTCTCAACGCTTGTCGCAGGGGTACCTTGCGCCGGAGATGCTCCAGCGCGAGTCCTACAACAAGGAGGTTGACGTGTGGGCGCTGGGGGTGATCGTATTCGTGCTGCTGTGCGGGTGCTTGCCCTTCGACGACGACAGCAAGAAGCTCAACCGCGCCGGGGCGTTTCAGGTGCGGAGCCCCGCCCCTTATTTTTTGGCGGTGATTATCGAACACAAGGAAAGTCGGAAAACGGTACTGGAGGGTACGCATGATGGTACCTGTCGTAAGCGTTTCGCCTGGGGTTGTTTATTCGTGCACGTTGATGCTGTTGTTGTTGTTGTTATTGTCGATATCGATCTCGCCTCGCGGTTGACGCATGCGAAATCGGCAACATTTGCTGGGCACAAACGGGACCGCGTGGAATCGAACGGATGGCGATGCGTTGTGTTCATCCTAGGAAAGGAACAATTTTTTCCCCGTTCGGGCCCGGTTCGGAACCCGCTAAACCTCTTCCCGTCCACTCGCTCCTTGCTTCCCCGCCCGTCTATATTTCGCTCCCGTCTGTTTTCGTTTTGTTGGCCAACCCCCACCACGCCGCGGCGCTTTCCCCAGAAATTCGTCCTCCGCTTCCCCCGGTGGGCGCAAAAGCTCTCGCCTGGCGCCAAGGACCTCCTCTCCAAGCTGCTGACGGTTACACCGCAGGCGAGAATCACCGCCAAGCAGGCCCTGGAACACCCCTGGGTGACAGGCAAGGTGGCCGCAGCCGACAACTACCTGGAGTCGCCGAGAACCCTGCGCAAGCTCCGCGTCGGCAGCAGCCCGAAGAAGGGGTGGGGCAAGGGGGTAGGGGGGGGGAGAGGGCGTGACGGCGCGCCGAAGCAGCAGCAGACGGCGGCGGCAGCGGCGGCGGCGGCGTCAGAGGCCCGCAGGAGGGCGGAATTCGAGGAGCAGAGCGATGAGTACAGAGAGGGGGGGGTGGGCCTCGGNNNGGGGGGGGGGGGGGGGGGGGGGGGGGGGGGGGGGGGGGGGGGGGGGGGGGTGAGCTGTCAGGGTGTGCTTTTCCATGCTGTTGGCGAGAAAGCGTGTGCCCTGGTGTGTGAAGTTCAGGGGGGGGGGGCTTTAGCTGTCAGGAGATAGTATTGCTGATTGCGGGGTTGTTGATGAATTCCACCATCGTCGTCGATCACAAATGTAAATTACCGTGCGCTTTTTGAGTCCCGAGATAGGAAGAGAAGAATATCAGTTCTCTCCTTTTCCTTGGCTGCCATGACGCAAGAATGAAGGCTGTGCGCAAGAGGTAACCAGCAGCAGCCGTTGGTTCTCGGTCGGGTTTATTTAGTGTTCGTGCCCTTGTGTTGAAGCTGTGCTTCGATTGTTACACGGGCCTGGGAGGGCCTGGGAAATTCGCCCATCGAATCGGGGGCGAGAGATGATGAGTTTTTTTTTAAGAGTCATACGCTTTGAAGGAGATTTCGTCATTTTGGAAGAAGCAGTCTGGGAAGGGGTTGGGGGGAAGGGGGGGGGGGTGTACTGCGCTCGCTACATGAAGCATTTTTGAGCGGACATTTGGGTTGTTTTGCAGCAAGGGGTGGGTTCCGTGGCCATGGACAATTGCGCGTATTGCCCAACACTGCCGCTAGCGCTGCTTTTTGATTTCTGTTTCCAGACACGCTGCTCGCGTGGATGTGTACAGCTGCCATCTCTCTTTCGCTTGGTACCTTTATCCCTTCCGATTGTTCTACGGTGTACCTTGAGGAGGTTTTAACGGGGTGTTCAGGTATGTAGACGGCGAATGATCAGCTTTTTTCTTCTTCTCTGTTCTTTCTCGGTATTTGCCCCGTTTATTCGTCCGAATGTGGCGGAGACAGGGATCGCTCGTTGTTGCCAGGTCTAGATGTTCACAAAACGTAGTGCCTCATTTAGTATCTGTTCTACCCCTAGCCTTTCGGCAGTCTGATTGTTGTCTGCTCGTTTTTGTTGTTGTTTTTTTCCTCCTCCGTTGTACCGCCGCACCCGTCTCAGAACGTTAACTACTAGATAGAGATGGATGCGTTGTGTCACATTAAGGGACAAAAGACATGTCAACCACTGATGTGGGTCACGCGAGTGTCCTTGATTTTCGTGCATTTTTCATTGTCGTTTCGTACCTGTTGGTGAATATCATCTCCATTTGAGCCACAGCTTACAGTCGCGGTGTGTGCCATGTTTGTGCTGGCAGTGAGACAACCAGGCAGTCTCGTTTTTCTTTTGTGCCCGCCTTCGGGCGTGTACGCTAGAGTTTCTTTCCCTGCTGCCCTTGTGTGGCGGTACGCTTTCCTCTTCTTGTTGCTTGCCCCTTGTGTTGTGCGTGTTGTGCCGCGTCGCGCTGAAGTGGACAAACCTGAGCGTGTGGTGGCATCGGAGAGTAGGAACTAGGGTGGAGGGAGGGAATTGTCACCAGGACCATGGTTCTGGGTGGCACTCGCTAGGCAATGGGCGAAAAGGCGATGTGTTGGAGGGAGGCCACTTACCACTCGTTGGCACACTTATGGGAGAGAAACGGAAGCGGGGTGGGGTGGTGAAAGGGGAACTGGCACTGGTTGCATTTGATGGCACTCAAGAGGCCATGGGAGAAAAAGGAGTGGCAGTCGAGATTTCACTGGGGGGTGTCGACATCGTGCGTGTTCGCATGGGCAAATGGAAGGCGCCGTTTGTCGTACTCGAGAGAAAAGGCAAGCCGTCGCTCTTTGTGGTGGCAGCGACGCTGCTTTGATGGGGCAAGCAATGGTCGGCGACGTCCGTGTTGGAGGCACATCCCTGTTGTTGTTTTCGCTCGCTGTTCGTATTTAGTGTGGGCCACTGCCGTTCAACCTCTGGGTTTCGAAAATTCAAGCGACAAGCGCACACGAAAGTCACATGTCTTTACTGCATGCCCTTCCCTTGATGTATGCGCCAAGCGCGTTGTTTCGTCGCGTGAACGAACGAGTACAAGTAGGCTTTGCTTGCTTTCATTTTTTCACTTCACTGGAGGATGTGTGTGTATGGGCCGTAGGATTCCTCTCCGCACCACACAAAAGAGGTTTCGTGGACGAGAGATGACCGTGCGCCTGTTGGAGGTGTGGCCTCAGAGGTCTACACGCCCGGCAGGCAGAGGAGTGTTGGTAGCGCCTCCTTTTCTTTTTGTTTGGCTCGAATTCACACAGCAGCAGCAGTGGTGTTGCGGTTACGTGTCTTTTTATGTGTGCAAAATATTTGTTTTCCACTTACATACCAGAAGCAGCGCTGCAGTCACGTCTCTCCGCGAAGATCCGTGTGGCGGGGCGTTGTCGTCAACGAGCAAATGATCCTCGTTCTCTTGGGACTCACGGCTTGTTTGTTTGCACAGTCATGCGTAATTGCCCGCGAATACGGACTTGGAGGTGAAGATGCGCTTTCGTCAAGTGAGCACACCTGAACCTGTTTATGTTTCCTTGCATTCCTGTGCCAGACGACACACACACGAGTCTCGTGGAGCTAGCTTATCTCGTGTGAGGCAGAAAACGGCAACGAGCAAAACCCCCACAGCTGACATCCTCAAGAAGGGTAAATTAGTCTCTTATTTTTTGCTCTCTCTCTCTTTGTTGTGCCCCTGCAAGGCAATGACAAGAAGCAGGGATGTATGTTACGGCGGATCCCGGCCGTTACGTACCCGTAATTACGGGAAATCAACAAAACGTGTTACGTACGCGTAATTCCGGCAGCACACCGGGGACCAAATCTTGTCGTCTCCGGGGTGTTACACACCGTATGGGGTGTTAAACACCGTCCAAGTCGCACATAAACGCGACTACAGCAGGTAGTCTAGAGATTAGGGATTCAGGGGTTGACATGAGCCTTCCTTGTGTACACGCGTACACGTGTATACGTGTATACTGCGTGCGTTAGACATGCTGCTTGTGTTCTTCAAGCTTCAAACTCCAATCTGCTCCCACCTGCACCTGCGGCATTTTTTTTCATTGCTGATCAATGAAAATACGTCAGTCTTAGTGCGGTTGAAAACACAAAACACTTCT